CAGCCTCTGATTTCTCCTTAGTAAACTAAAATCATTTTTCATTTATTTCATCTTTAAACATGGGAGGTTGCATGATCTGCTTTTGGAATTTTCAGGATTGTGGTTTTCCCTCTTTGTTACATGAAACATCTTGAAATTGTTTCTACATGTACACACACACACACACACACACACACATACACAGAATTTGAAACCCACTAAACCTAATATTTTCATATTTGCACAGCTTCTTTGGGCAGTTGCACAAGACCAAATTCCATAGTTGACAAGAATTTAAAAATTAGATTAAATCTGAAGAATACATACTGGTTTACATGTAGGTTGCATATTCTAAGATTGTTTAACTTATTTTTGTGCTAAATTACCCTTCAATAACCCAATTAGAGTCTTTCCCATTCACTGTTCTGAAAGAGTTGGGACCTAGATGTGGCCTGCTTGTAAAGCACCAGGCCTTATCTAAACCAATGCCTTCACCCTCTCCATCTTCTCTAAGAGGGGTGATACATTTGAGCCTGATATGTCCACAGATTTGTGTTTTGAATGTTTCATGTGAGACTGGTTGTTCTTTTAAAGCTGTGGTCACAGCTTTAGGATACAGGGCTGTTGTGGCAGAAACAGGACACTGAAGAGGGCTGTAAGGCTCTCCCTACTTGTGGCTGCTTTGCTTCCTGGCCTACTACCATGTGAACATCCATTATAAGGACTACTGCTATCATAGAGCAAGTGTCCCTGCCATTTCTTTACCACCATGATTTCTCTTTAAGTTTCTTCTGGAAGGTGTGTTTCCATAGCAACAAGAAGAGAAACTAACACAGATTCTAATTCTTCCTCCCTAGGGCAAAGACATTCACTATGGAAGACAGTCTCATTTGAGAGGAATTTACATTTCAATCCAACTCACAGACTGTTTTTTTTTTTTTAAAGATTTTATTTATTTATTATGTATACAGCATTCTGCCTCCACGTATATCTGCACACCAGAAGAGGGCACCAGATGTCATAACGGATGGTTGTGAGCCACCATGTGGTTGCTGGGAATTGAACTCAGGACCTCTGGAAGAGCAGTCAGTGCTCTTAACCTCTGAGCCATCTCTCCAGCCCCATCACAGACTGTTTTTAATAGTTGATGGTACGAAAAAAAATCAGGCTATTTTTCTTATGAAAATCATTTCCAAAATATTGTGTTTCTTTTGCTTTAATTGTATTTTTATTTTAGCACAGTTTTAGAGTCACAGAATTATTTCAAAGACAAAGCAGAGAAACTATGTTTCTCCCACTCAGATTCCAGCTAGTATTAACACCTCATATTACTATGGAATACAGTATGTGACATTTGCCACAACTGTCCATTGTTGGTATGTTAGTAATGCAATCTACACTTTCTTCAGATTTCCACTAGATAGATTTTGAAGGGGAATTTAGCACAAAAACAAGTCTGCTTTATTCCAAGATCCCATGAAGGAATCTAAATTTCATGTTACAACTTATTGCCTTTAGCTTTATTGCTTAGAACTGACATAGTGTATTCATGAAGAAAAAAAATATATAGAAGTAAAATCCCATTTCTATTGTTTCCTACCCCAGGTATGTAAGACCAGGTAACCAGCTGACTGCCCTTGGTTGTTGGGCTTGCAGTGGTGTTTGTCAGTTTACTCTGTTGTGAACTTAGTGCTTTATCTCCCCATATCTATGCCACCTTTAAAATTAAAGTCAGTATACACAACTCAGAATTGGAGTTATTTTTGAGTTTAAGGACAGTGTGTGTGTAACACAAAAAAATAAATGATGTGGAATAGATATGGGGGTTCAAGGTGAAGATCAGGAAAGCAAAGCAGCCAAGATACCAGAGAGCTCTTACCGATAAAAGGGCTGGGGAAGAGCAAATGGGTCCAGACCAGGTTGGTGAAACCCACAGAAACAGCTGACCTGAACATCCGGGAACTCTTGATCCCCAGACTGATAGCTGGGATACCAGCATGGGACTGATCCAGACCCCAGGAACATGGGTTTCTGTGAGGAAACCTCGGAAATCTATGGGACGTCCTGTAGAAGTTCAGTACTTATCCCTAGCATAGGTGTGGACTTTGGGAGCCCATTCCATATAGAGGAATACTCC